CTCATAAAGGAAGTCAAAGGAAGAGGTAGCATCAAGCTCAGTCACCTGGTAGCTCTGTGGCAAACACATCAATCAAACCTTCTGATGTCAGCAGCCACTTTTCCTGTTTTCTTATCTTTTCTATTTCCCCCTCTCTTCAGGTGTCAACCAATTTGATCAAGATGACGTGGGACACTCATCCCAAGCTCTCACTGTTGGAACTCTGACATTTCCTCTTCTCCTTCTTTTTCTTTCCCGGTCACTCCTGATTCCAACAAGCTCAACCTGCTCCATCACCCTGCTGCTCTAAGCTTGTCCTGCTCTTATCCTCCAGGGGAGATGAAGAGTGCTCCGGGCTGTCATTGAGGTGACGTGACTCAATAAGAGAGACGTTTGAGATGTTCAAGGATGTCTCCACATTTCAGAGCCACAGTGTGACACTGTGAGTGTGACAAGCTTTATATAGTAGAGCCACACTCAGCTTTAACACGGCTGTAGATGTTTCCCTTTGTATTCATGCCACTGGAGTCTCTTCTGGCTGTGACACAGATCTGTGCTGTGTTCAGTTTGTTAGAGGGTAAAAAGACCAGGCTAACATGCAAATCAATACTGATTAGAGATAGTAAAGAACTCTGTTCAGCTCTCTGGCAGCCTGCAGCAGTTCAGCTGCAACAGCAATGTCAATATAAACAGAAGCAGCTTTTATTAAATGTTAATACCCTGTAATCCTTGGATAACCATAAAGGCAATTCGACAAAACCTCTAGTGTTACAACGTTTATTCCTAAACCGTCCATTTTCCTCTAATCCAAACCTGCACTCTCCTTAGTCTGCATTAATTAAGGAACAAACAAGACTAGTAGGAAAACATTAAGGTAATGTATTTATTGTTGTTAACAAGTGCAGTATATTTAACAAGAATTCTTAGAGATTTCCAGTTTCCAGAGACACCAGTAACCACTATTCTGATCAGGGTCGCAGGTGAGATGGAGACATTCCAGCAACATGGACAGCAGTCCATCATTGGGACACATATAGAAAACCCCAGCAATTCAAACTCAGATTCACACCTATAGGCAATTTAGAGTGAACAAATCACCAAATATAACCAGTGATCCACAAAGGTGCCCTAAAAGGCCTTGAGGTAATCACTAATATACAGAAAATCAGGGTATCAAACCAGCCTGCAATAACCAATCTGCCACCTTGTGGACCAACCATCTCAACCCCACCCAGAACAAGTGGTTACAATGTTGACTTGTATTTGAAAGCTCAGTGGCTAGTTCACAGGGTTGTCCTGTGCAGTGCCGTGTCCAATTTTTAAAAGGCTCCTTTGACACATTCTGCCTACATTTTTGCTCTTCTTTATTTTACAGCATTAGCAGGCTGTGATCCACCTCCTCTATAAAACATGAAGCTGCTGGCAACAAGCACAAAAAAAAGCTCCAGCACTGACCAACATAGAAATGAGGTTTTATTACACATAAAAACAGCTCCCGCCTGCAGTAACAAGAATACAGATGGCACTTGGGAAGACTGGCATTCTGCAGAGTCTCAAAGTCCTTTATGTACAGAGAGCTGAAACAGAGTACATGCAGTACACCCACTGTAGTGTAGAGCTGTTGTCATTTCAAACCAATATGTGGAGGGCAAGATTGTGCATATTTATTTTCGGTCAATGTTTCAGCTCTTACAAAATACAGTTGCATACTTGATTTGATTTGAAGTGCCTGGTGTATTGCAGATTACTATGCACTGTACTGTAGTAATTGCAGTCATTACACACTCTGCATTAGCCTCTGGTGATTCTATTTGACCAGCAACAGCATTTTCTCTTGACCACTGCCTCCATGTCTTGCTCCCCACAGCCTCAAAATAAAATCAATCAACTGCTCTTTTCCAGTCAACTTCCACATGAACAGCCAACACTCACAGCAGCTTGTCCTCCGTCTGTCAGACATACAGTCCAGCCACACAAATGCACCACTCACACACTTGTAATGTACTTTAAACGGGCTGCACGAGAAGAAGCTGATGATTTCAGAAGGATACTGTTACTCAGACAGAAGCTTTGTCTCCCATAAAAACAATTCAATTCAAAACAAAAAGCAACTCAAGCTGTGCATTTAAGACAAATTCCTTATTCTTTCACAACATGCACTGACAACAACTATGGAAGAAAAACATATTTAATGCATTTGCAGTGGTTTTACTTAGTGGAGAGGTATTGATTTTCCCATGTTCATGCAAGCGATGATAGGATGTGCAGGACACATAAGAGGAGACAGCAGCAGCAGCAGCAGCAGCAGCACACTGAGCAGGAGTGCAGAAGAAAACACAGCCAGAGAGGCACTCAAGTTAGAGAAATACCTGCAACTACAGAATGGACGGAGAGAGAGGGGACATGCCTGGGAAAGAGGAATTGCCCATTCTCCACCTGGACACTCCGGCTTCACCGTCCAGCACCGCAGAGTCACTTTCTCTCTTGTCTTCTTTGGCTTTACTCCTTCTTTCCTCCACACTCACTACATCTCTCCCTCTTCTGCTGTCACTTTTTGCCTTCTCCTTCTCTACCGCTCCATGCCTCAGCTTGTGGAGGAGCTGTGTCAGCATGTGAGTAACTGAGCCAGCATCCGGGATGCTGGGGATGCTGGGGATGCTCGGGATAGCTGTGACGGATTAGAGCGCACAGTAACGAACAGGAGCGCTCCTCACTCAGTCTGAGTGAGGGCCAATGAGTAGACTCATGTTTAATGGATACAGGACCCTCCCCGATCCGTCTCTCTTAAAGGCCCACACTCCATTTCATCTCAGTGCAATCATTACACGCTCTGCAGGATCATGTGCTCACAACGTGGGGAAACACTCAGTTTCAGCCAGACTCTTCTCCCTGTGCAGCACAGACATGTTTTTTCCACCAAGTGGAAGACTCATAAGCTCACACCGTCCTCGTACTAAATAAGTGAAGTCTCAGGCTGCTGCAGTAGCAGGGACTGCACTGTTAGAGTTTGTTGTATGTATTGTCGTTGCAGTTCGACATTACATTAAAAATACAACAGAAGCAAACAGAATAGAATAGACATTTCAGAGTACTTTCTCACAACTATAACTGCTCAATGTTGCGGCTCAGTGTTTATCTTCTTTATTATACTTTTCATGCCAATCCCAGGGTTCAGGAATTATTCCTCCTTTAATGAGGATTTATGAACTCCAAAACTACTAAAATTCTTTAATACTTAAAGGTCAGACACAAACAGAAACTCAAGTCAACTCTGCAGTCAATCAGACTTCTAATTAACAGTGATCCTTTGATTTGGCAGAGGAATACTTCAATAAATCCTAGTAGCACTATCACAGCTGTGAAAATTCAAGCCACCTTTCTGAACACTACTCCCGAGAAGGCAGAAATCTGCTGCCCTGCAGTGGGACCACTACTACTTCTACTTATACTACAGTACTTCCAGGAGCATTAACCAGCTTTTACTGCGTCCTCTGTTCCGGTGATTAAAATCCATGTGTGAGCAGACTCAGCAGACCACAAACTTTATGCTAGAAAACCTAAAAACTAAATGCAGCATTTTACACTTTGGTTACCAATAAAACAGGCAGTGAATGTTCCACACGGTGGATCTTTTTAAACACAAAATAAGAATTTTAAACGAAAATGCCAAGTGTGGTTCAAGCTGACAGCATATCAAAACACATTTGTGATTCTACTGGTTGTGATAAGTGACAGAAGAAAATAAGAAAAAAAAAAGTGCAGAGGCAGCTCATCTGTGCTAGGATGTGTCTTCATGCAGAGGAAACGTCAGAGTAAATCATGCACTGCCTGTGGATGTAATTCACTCCTTTAAGGCCTTGAATTTAATGAGGCAGAGTGTGTGTATGTGTGTGTATTCAGTGTCATGTGGGCTGCAGATCATACACACACTGACACTTAATAATAGGATTTCCAGGAAAGCGAGAGAAGGACAGGGAATATCTGAGCACTACATAAATAGACATTGCTGTAAAAGATGCAGCGAAATAAGTTTTTTTGCATAAAAAAAACTCCTACCTATAAACCAAACTAAATATAGAATAACATCCAATAGGGTGACAATGAGCAAGCCTGAATTTTTTATCCTGTAACCTGTTATAAAACTGTGTCCCGGCACCTGAGGCCGTGTTCACAGAGCCTGGTTTTGTTCCTCTTGACCTGGATTCAGTGGCTGGTAAATAAGAGATGGTGTTAAATTAAATATAGGACTACAGCAGGACCTTGAGTGAGCAGATGCTGAGTGACTGATCTCTGTCCTTGAGCTACTCACATCCTTACTCTGCACATGCCACAGGTTTGTAATGGAAAAATATCAGTGTGATCTATGCTCATCCTTGCTCTCTACCTCTCTGGAATCTCATTGAGGAGCACAAGGGTTTAATCAGGAAGGAAAGGAATTTGTGGGGACGGGAGAAGGGAAGGATTGGAATCCACTTAGGATTGATTTCCTGACTAACAGGGAATAAAAACACACGAATGAAATGTAAACCTGAATCTTACTGTACAAGTACAGACAATTATATTATCTGTGTTTTCTGAGTAACTCAAGTCATGAAGCCAGAGAAGGACATGGAGAACAAATACAAGGTAAAAACCAAGGTCTGGCTGAGGGGGCAGCTGTGGCACTAGGACAATGTATTTTTGGTCTTTGTCTTTTTTGTTAAAATTAAATTTTAAAGATCATTATTGGGGGTGAAATTAATGTATTAAATGTTTTAGCTATTTACTATTTTATTCATAACAAAAAACCACAACAGGTTAGCTATGAGATCAAAACGAAGGTAATACTAATTAGTTCATGCTAATATACATATTCTTTATTTTTTAGTTATCATTCAGTCAACTTGATACAGTATATTTTGTAGATTTTTTGCTTTGCTACTCCTTTAGTCGGCTAATTGACATTTTACCTCTAGAACTGAAGATCACTTTTTTGCAAAAGATGTATCCAAACCACAATCAAGTTAATTGAGTTCTTGTACCTTTTCTCCAGATGAAGCTGCGTCCATATGAGGAGACCAGGAGACCGGGGGACTGGACGGGGAGCTGACAGGTGGTCTGCTGACATGCTGAATAATTGACAGAGCAAACACAGAGGGCACACACAAGAGAAAAAAGGCAATAAATACAGAGGAGCTTTAAAAAAAAGTGAGAAATCTTGGTGCAGACAGACGGGATGACAGAATAATTACACATTCATGTATTCCAGGTTGACCGGCGACAGCAGGAGCAGCTGTGTTCTCTCCCTCTGCCTACACGTCTGACCAGGGGACCTGAATAATGAATCAGAAGCAGCTCCAGTTTCACACTCACGTACAGTAACGGTGCACATATCACATAGAGTGACAGCAATTACCCTCACACAGAGACAGACAGAGGTAGTTGGGGAAAACTTCAAACAGGGACTGATGAGTCTTTCCTTGACGCGGCCATATGTCACAACAAAGGACGTCGGTGAAATGTAGGCAAACATCACAGAGGGGCACAGAGTCTGGAAGGTGTCGGGGCATAGTGAGGGAGGAGGCATCTGACGAGCACCAGTGTCACCTGAAAAAACAGAAAACATTGCTTAATAATGGCTCAGTGTTGAGTCCTGCCCTGGTGACATAGAATACAATACATAAGGTTGAAGAGTTCTGTTAGGCAACTTGAGGTGAAACTTTCTCAAAAAAGACATTTCTTTAAGGGCTGTACTCCCCAACACCAGTTAGAACTTCTTTGAGAAAATTTCACGTCCAGTTGCCTAACAGAACTCTTCAACCTTGACTATGACCTGGATGGCTTTCAAATCTGCTGCTAGACACTACACATTTATTTACATCACAAAAACCTAATTTCTGTATATTACCAGACCAAAAAGCAGGTAGTGTGTTTTACAGATGTTCTGTGACTAATCTATATGGTGAAATTATTAATATGGAAAAATAGCAAGAATGCAAACTTTTAAGTAAAAAAAAAATAGATTCAGTTAGTGGAGTTTACTTATTTAGACAATGATTTGTAGACTGTGCTTTCAAAGCTTCAGTGAAAGCGTTGTCCTCAACAATATTAATCAGTCTGCTGTACCTCACAATCAATCAGATCAGGACTTTCAACCTTTCCATGCTATAACAGTATTAGCTTCGTACTGAGGACTGCCTTTGCAAACAGACAATTCTGCTAAATAGAGTAACATACAACTTTACAACATCAACTTTACTATACATCAACTTTTAAAATTTCTATTATAAAAAACTTTTATTCGCTATTGATAATTATTACATTTGTTTAGCTTAAAAGAAAAATATGAACGAACGTTTTCAGCAGTCAAAAACCTGTGCGTTTTGCTTTAGCTAGCAACACGCTTAATATTTCTCGAAAATAATTTTAGAAACATCAACGTTTAGAAAGTCTATTTTTTAAACTTTTATTCGCTCTTTAATAATTATTACATTTGTTTAGCGTAAGACAATTGTTAACGAATATGTTTTCAGCACGGTCAAAAACCTGTCCGTTATGCTTTAGCTAGCTACACGCTAGCACGAGGAGCAGAGCATCTTGATACCAGGTGTCGACTGCCAGAGGTACACAGGTTGTGACGTCGTCACGCTGAAGTTGTAGTTGTCACACGAGGTGCATTCATGTAGCATCGGAAACGTGAAAATCCCACAATTCCATATTACGTGCCATTTGGGTAAGCTGGGCAAATGGTTATACACGTTTTTAATTATAAGATTCTTTTTAGTTGTTGTTACCTTTTCTTGTCTTCTTTCTCTGCCCCCTAAGCGACTGCATTAGACAATTGTGCTCTCTTTGTTGATGGGTAAAATGCAGAGGTCATGTTTTATTGTGTGCAGCGGTGTGCTGTGTTACAATGACAAGTAGTTCACTTTAGTTTTCTCCTAATGCCTTTACTGACATGGCCACACAGTGGGATACTGGGTAGTACAAGGTTACTGCTTTACTAGACTTGTGTGTTCTTCCTGTGTTTGGGTTTTCTCCTGTTGCTCCTATTTCCTTCTACAGTTCAAAACAATATAATTATGTTGTTTACTCTTAATGCAGCATTAGTGTAAATGCGGGTGTGAATGCTTATTTGTTTCTATGTGTGGCCCAGCAGTGGTCTGGAGACCTGTCCTGGGTGCACCCCCCACCCACCCATTGATTGCTGAGACTGTGACCACCCTCCTGCTTGAGAGGATTAGGCAGTGGGGAATGGATGGATGCATGAAAGACTTCCATGTTGTTGTGTCCTCCTGTGTCCCTGTCTATCTTTCCTTGATGGCTTTCAAAAACTACAGGCTCCACCAAGAGCCTGATATTTCATGGCCCTGCAGCCCTGACACAGACACTCCTATCATTCTGACAGAGTGTAACAAATTTGGAGCTCACTTCTCCGACCACAAGAACACGATTCAGATCTCTTTCTCCGTCTGAAGTGCTGTTGAATTTCTCCAGCTTTTGGTGAAAGTGAATCCTTAAATCCACCTGGCTGCTCCTACGCTCAGCTGGATTCAATCACACCTCCCCTGACAGCTTCTCCTGTCTTTTCAACCCTTCATTTACCTGCCCATCCAGGCCAGTCTGAAACATTTGTTGCCATGGCAACCTCTTCACAGAGCGCTGCAGTGGAGAAAGCGAAGATTACCCGAGCACACTGGTATTTAAGTACACACACACTCACTTGAGTGTGTGTGTGTGTGTGTGTGTGTGTGTTGGGACAGAAATTAGCTCCTGGTGAAGCCACTGTGCAGTGAGGGATGTATGATCTCTGCACACTAACCCCAGGCTTGCAGCCTTTCATGTTCCTGCACCACAGGCTCTGTCAGGACCCAGTCCAGTTTTTTTTTCTTCCCTTCTTTGTAGATAAGTCGAGCAGTTTGGAGCTGATAACGGCTTATATATATATATATATATATATATATATATATATATATATATATATAAAATTCATATAATTTAAGTCAATTGAAAATGTGCAGCAATACTTTTTCTGTCACTGCCATAAGGCTGCCTAAGATTAACTGTGCAATTTTATATTTCTGTGGCCTCAATACTTAGGCCATTTTTTCCATATGGTTATTTTAGGTCTGCTGAAAATATACACTCACCCACACGAGTGTATGAGATGTCTATATGACTTAAGAGAGAATATTAAGAAGAAAAACCTAAGATGTTATTAAAACGTTTGAACAAAATCTTTTTCTTTTTCTTTCTTCCATCGTAGCCCTAACGCTGAATCTCACTGTGCAGACAACCTGAAGACTTTTCACCTGGGACTGTGAAGGTATTGCTGGCGACCAGTTTGGATTACAGTAGAGGCTACAAATTTAGTTGCTGGATGGTAACACAAAACAATCCCCAAAACAAAAAAGTTTAAATTTAGAAGAATTTAATTTGAAATTGTTTATTCAACATAAAACATCTCTAAACATTTGGAAGACATAAAACTAACAAACCCTGTTTGATTAAAAAACAAAAAACAACCAAAGATGGATACACATTAGTTTCTTTATGAGACTGAAGTAATATTTAACTATATTTAGGTCTCAGGTAGATTCGTTTCAAAGACATTTCTTTTGGATTTAGATGATGCTAATGAAATCCCAAACACATACTTGCACATCAATAATTAAACCAATCTGTCTTTTAGTACTGACATTTTTTTAGACATAAAAAAGTCAATGTTTGACCTAGAATAACCAAGTTACAATAGCCGCTGTTTCCATAGCTTAAAAAAACCTGGTGGGTTTTCTCCAGCTGTGACTGACAGACTGACTGACTGATCATCTGTGACGTGTAGACATGTTGAACCACATTTAAACACAAGGACAGAAATTAATGTGAAAATGTTCACAAACCCGCATAGAACATGTTAATATAACATATTTGGTTGCATCATAACAGTTTTCCTTCACCACCATTTGTGCAAACAGAGGGTTAGCAGATCTCTGCAGAAACATTGTGCATCATTGAGGTCGAGAGGTTGACTGGTTGACTGCATTAAGGGACAACAAGACAAGCAATGAGGGAGGAGTAAAAATGTACATGCTACATGTCGCAAACTGGGACAAACTGTGCACTGCATGATCCATCCTCACAACTGTTTTTAAATGACAAGAGTCCTCTACAGAAGAAGAAGTAAGAAATTTGATTTATATTTTAGAATTTTCTCACTGTCTCCTGACAATCTTGAGACTTTAATTCTTTCTTGTACTACCATTTAAAATGTATTATGTTTTTTCTCATCATTTTAGCTTAAGCTATATTGAAATGAATTATCATAGGTTTAGATTAGGGATCATTTGCTAAGTAAAATTCAAGTCTTTTTTCTCGCCTTGTGAATACATTTTACAAGAAATCTTGCTTGATATAAAACATTATTCCAAAATTAATTTTTAATTTCTTAATTTCTCTCAACCCAAAAATTCTGACTTTACACGCCATTCTTTTTTCACTTTTTTAAGCTGAAACTTTCTTACTTTAAGCTCATATTTCCAAGTAAGAAAAAAAAAAAACATTTGTGATGTAAATCTATGTGGCCCTCTACTTCATTCCTTCCAGCCCTTCCAACCCCATGAGTTAATCTTTAGAGCTTTGACGCAGAGCGCCCTCTGATGGCCGTTTAAGCGAAGTAACCTGTGCAGCAGCCGAAGATTTACCCCCTGCTGCCCCTGAATCACAGACTCGTCTGGCCAACAGACTGTGAGGATGTAACTGAAAAGTGCAGAGTTTTAAAAAGTGCTCTGTCTCCACAGCAGTAAAAGAAAAAAAATCTGTCCAGCATCACTAATGAAGCCTCCTCCATAAGGGAGCATAGCTCGTTAATTAAAGATAAAAAGAGGTCTGGAGCTGCACTGGTGGAGGAGGATAATTTAAAAAATAATGAAGGAAGAGGAGCCTCCCCCCACTCTATTCCCCGAGACTATGTCTGAGAGCAGACCTGATGACACTATCACACAGACAACAGCATACCTCTGCTCTGCTCCGGAGCTAAGATGATCAGAAGGTCCAGTGGGTTTATCTACGCTGCTTAGACGTCAGTGTGGCTGAGGATCACACCTCAGACTGGAAATAAAGGGCCGGAGGGCTGATCCTGGATCAGTAGAGAGAGCTGTGACAGAGTCTGTCCGTGTGTGAAAGAACTAAGGGGAGGAAGGGAGGAGAGAGGAGGGGCAGTTTACAGTGCCACACAGATGCAGGGGTGTTTAAGGCAGACGGGCAGGATGCCCTTGTTGATCTGGTGGAACTCAACCAGCTGCAGCAGGTCTATGAAGTGCGTCAGACCAGACCGTCGTCCATGGTAAAGTACTTCCTGCCTGCGTCTTCACACTGGACAGAGGAGGACAATCACAGTTAAGTGAGTGGTTTTATCCCAGAGGAGTCGGAGTCTCTGAGACAGTGGAGGGAACTCACAGGGATCACCAGGTAGTGCTTGGTCTTCAGCCGGTAACACAGTGACAGAACGAAACACTGCGCGTGCTGCTGGCTCTCACGGATGAGGAACATCCTAGAATATTTACATGTTGAATACACACTATGTTTTCACTTTAATTTATTTGTGTCTTTTCTATGTCAACAAATACCACTGTTTGTAAGGAAACACTAATGTTGTGAAAGAACAAAATGGGGTAACAAGCCAAAGAATGTTGTCTTTAACTCCTTCTCCACTCACCCGTCCACAAGGCCTTGCTTCTCGATCAGTCTTTGAGCTTCTTTTCTGGAGACACCACCATGGAACCATGGCTGACTCCTGTGAATGGCTGCAGTCAAAACAAACACAAAGGAGATGCAGAAATCAGAAAGCCATCAGAGAAGTAGTCATATGTTTTAATTCTCTTCAAAAATGAACTTTTCTCCGTTTCCTCAGATGTGCACTTACTTGTCGGTCGTGAACCTGAACTCAGGTTGGGGAGGCTGCACCTCAGGGACTCTCTCCACTGTCAGTGAGGAAAAACAAAATTTAGTTTTGGTTAAATTTCTTACTTGCATATGCTGATCTTCTGTCACTGTTAGGGCTCTAAGACTAAGACAATGGACATAACTCTGAGGACTGAGGAAGAAAGAGAAGTAAAGGATGAAATTCATCCTCTATAATGCAACATTATGGGACATCACTAACTAACAAACTCACTTTTCAGTTGCTTTTCTTCCATCTAGGGCTTCTATACATTTTTTATAAAAGCTTGTAAATCTCCAAGTAAGTCATTTTCAAAGTGCTAAGTGTTTGAGATAAGACAACAATTGAACTAAAAGGGAAAACGAGGGTTTTTCACAATTTTCTTTTCCATTGACTTCTGGTTTAATTGCCCCTGTTGTTGAGGCAGATGCACTTTCTTGAAATTGCATCTTAAATTTGTTTCTGAATGAAGTGTCAGAAAGACGCAGCCCGCACTAAACTGCTCTCAGCAGCTTTATAAGTCTGATTAAATCACAAACAAACAGTGACAGAATCCCATCAAAGTGTTGAAAAACACAAACGGTATATTAATTTTCCAAACTTTATCACAGTTTATAGAACGACAATTTGTTTTGGTTTTATTTTCATCTGCAAGTCGAATATTATATAATAATAAAAGCATATTCCTCACTTCTCAGACTTTTCCACATATCAGCTCATTGTTTGGACTCATTTCACTCCTCACACAAATAAAAGATAATTTCCATCTTTTTTTTTCTCTGGGATTTAACTGTCCTTCCATCCTCACCCTCCAGGCTTGTCCCTCCTCCTTCTCTGCGATCTGGGCTTCTGTTGAATTCTGGATGACCCGTCCTCCGGTCTTCCCTGAGAAGTCCATGGCCACAAGGCTGGCCTCAGACTTACACTGCTCACACACACACACACACAAATGTATAGATGAATGTGTAGCTGGTCAGATGTCAAAGAGACTCTGTGTCTACATACAATATATAAGCAACTCACTTTATGTTCTGTCAGGTTGGTTCCTTCCAGCTTCTTTGGTACTAACTTGGACAACTGGTAGTTACAGTGAAGCTGCTTCCCATGCTGACAGCACACACACACACACATTATTGTAACATTAGAATATAGGCAAAATGAAAAGGAGTGCATTTCCTCAAAGTCTAAATATATAGACTTCAGGGCACACCAATGTTCTGACAGCAAAGCCAAAAGAATATGCATATACTGTGTGTCTATCAAGATGAGGAACCTTGAAGAGTCGAAAGGCAGACGTCCAGCAAGTTCGTGTCTGCTCGTTCTCGGTGCAGAGGATCTTCAGGTCCTGAGCACGGACGGGGTTTTTGGACAGCTGCGTGTACAACGTAAAAACAGTCAGACTGAGCCTGTGAACAGCTCTCCTTCAATGAACCACCAACACAAGAATAACTTTCTCTCTCCTGTCACATTTCTGGCCCTGAGGAAGTGAATACCTTGATTGAGAAGGTGAAGTCAGAAGGCGCCCCGTACAGTTTACGTCCATTTACCACCTTGTATACGTTCAGATCTTCCAGATCAGCTACATATTGCAGATGCCGAGGCTCCTGAGAGCCAAACACAACATCATTTAAGTACACGACCAGGGAACAAGGTGTTAACATTTGATCAGGTGTTTTTTTCTCTTTTGGATTTCTCAACACAGATGCTATGAAATTCAGGCGCTCTGACCTTGGAGGAGCCCTTGGTGGAGCAATAGAGCCCAGACCGACGGAGGAAGAAATAAATCTTTTTCCAGGCTTTTCGACTGGGTTCTTTGACATGGAGGAAGCCCTGGATCTCTGGACAGGTCCCAGACCTGAGAAGGTTCTGTAAATAAAGCCAGCAGAGATCTGAGCTTCTGGAGTTAATGGTGGGACAGAAGCAGAAGAAGTCCTTAACAACGCTGTTATTGTTATAACTTTGTTGTCTCCTAACCTGGTGCCAGATGCCCCTTTCCTTGCACAAGGACAAATATAATGCACCCATATAAAAGAAATGACTGTTCAACTCCTTTGATTACAGTCATTATCCTGTTCCCTCTTGAAAGGTGCCTCCTTAAATTTTACGACCAAAAAGACAGGAAGAGCTGAGGTGAGGCAAGTTCACAGAGGAACAGAACTGGTTTAAATGTATGGGGTTTTTTTTATGTCTGGCATCACTGGGCCACAACAAGTGATTTTTTTTTTTTGGAATAGATTATTTCTGATCAAGGGATTTCAGGACCTTTAATAAGTTGAGGTCTAATACGCACAAAAAATAGGTTCCCCCTCTGATGGTCCACTTCATGGTGACATTTTTGAAATTCAGTTTAGTCATGGGGCTTTGCCTCATTACTTTCATTTTCTAATCTTTAAGAATTACTAAATTGGGAATAAAGAGGAGTCATGCTGATCTTACCTGGATGAGTTCTGCCGACGTCATGCCCTTGCTGACATCTGCACTGTCAGAGATCATGTTCTCTGGGAAGAAGAGCTGCCAAGGGAGGAGAAGAAAAAAAGAGAAGAGGAGAAGAGTCAGGAGGATGAGAGATGTCAGAGAGCAAGAGAAGACGTATTTACAAGACGAGGCAGCAGCTTCTGCTCTCCACAAACATCATCATCATCAGCTGATTAGGCTGTCTTGGTTTTAACCCTGATTAAGTCACCAGCTCAAACACACCTCACAGAGAATACATTCCTTTGTCGAAGGTGCAGAAAACTAGACATGTACCATAATTATAAAGTCAATGATGATAAGTAGGATAGCATAAATACACACTGTACCTACAGCAGCTTTGTGGCACATGCATACAGTTGACAAAAGGCGTTCTTACTCTCTAAGTCTCTCTTAGTTAGTGTTTACAAAAGTGTTTCCATTGAAGTTATTTGCCATTCAGGCTCACAGCGTGTGACTATCAGACTGGAGCATGCAGCACAGATTGTGTGAATGATAACATCTGTGAGCTCACCGTATGAAAGCCATTAGGGGGAAATAATATTATAATTGTGGCCAAGAAACAATTTTTAAAAATTTTAAGTAAATTTGATTTATCTTTGTAATATTGACAGCTCAGGGTTTTCACAGTCTGATTGACATTTGTGTCAGACAGCTCGTTGGCTGTAGACCAACTATACTGCCCTGCACACAGTGAGGCTGAAGTAAGATGAGCTTCTGATCTGAGTAAAGATCATTTCTACCTTAACAACAGTATTGAACATAGAAGTCTTCATTTCAAAGAAAACCTAACACTGTGGTGTACTGTGGTCAGATCCTGACCAGTTTTCTTCTGATGCAGCCTGGAGCCTCTTCGTTGAGACACCAGTGGGAGGTCCATCAGAACCAGTTATCAGTGTGATGTGTCACCTTTGTTTCATAGTAAAGGCACCAGCAATGGTGTAATTTAATATCTGAAACTGTACATAAGTCAGTGTGTCTGCAACAACACGCAAACCTGCCAATCATTCAGGTTTTCTGACGTCAGGCTCTGTCAGCATCCACTGCAGCAACACGTCTAATGAAATCAGTGGAAATCCTTCATGTCCCAGCTTAATGTACCTGGAAGGAACCACTTGTTGGATTTTGTGGTTGTGTAACTAAAGGCTTTTCAAGCCACCAGACATCACTAAGTGTAAACACAATGAAGGCTGCCTACCACTGGTTTCCTGAAGAACTCGTACTTGGCGTAGTTCTTACAGAAAACAAGCCTTGTGTCGCTTTTCAGAGACCAGGTGGACTGAACCTTCAGCACATCCTCATGGTCCTCGAGACACCGCTCTGATGAATTAAAGAGTGGTTAGTGTTGAGAGAAAAAGAAGTTTTTAATAGTAATTAAAAGTCCTTAATTAAATATGGATAAGAAGTTCCAGCTTACCCAGACCAAGGGCAGGATGGAGTTCCAGTAGAGCCCAGTTCTCTTGGTCGCTGCAGTGGGCCGTCTGGACCAACATGTGACAAACTTCTCTGGCGTTAGCTCCAGGAGAGACCCAGACAGACCTGCTGTGACTGTCTTCTCCATACACCTTGATCAGCTGAATAAAGACAAGGTGGCAGATGAAGGATTTAGCTCCAGGGTAGAGTAAAAAAGCTGCAGCAAAAACGTAATCTTTCAAGATAAACTCCAGGGCCAAGGAAATGTCAACTCTACACAAGGCCTGTAATCCTTTTTTTTCCCTCTTTTACATATATGCAGGGTATTGTGGAATTTCTTCTATCCATCTACTACTGTAACAAATGCATTCAATTTCTTTTCTTAGTGGTGATAAAATATTCCTGGGTTGAACCCAAAAACACTTTTTGAAAACCATGTTCATGGAGGCGGACTTAAACCACAGTACTTTTGCTAAAATCCTATTTAATCCCCTCTCAATGTGATACATAAAATATTATCTGATCCTTTTCTACTCTCTACACTCTCACAGTTTTGTATCTGTACTGTGTATCTATAGTCATGCAGTACATGCAGACAGTCTGCTTCCTTGATCCTGTTCAGATGAACCTGGTGCAGGTTATTCAGAGGTCAAAACCTCTGTAGCAGAAAATGTCCTGGTGAATTTAAATTGTGTCAGATGGAAACAAAACCAACCTGAACAACCAGAAACCTGCAGCTGTCAATCAACACACTGTGACAGGTTGGGTTAGTGCTGGCGTCAGTCTCGACAAATAATGTCTGACTTTACAGCAGACAGGTTCATGTGGGGCACGACATTCTTTCACTCTACTTCAATATCCAGCCCGTCCACTCGGACTCCTGAGCAGGTTTGTTATTAAACAGTGAGGGGGAGGCAGGAGAGGACTCTGTGTAGCTTATGTCCTAAGGACACAAAGCTTACAGAGTGGGACAACAGTGGAGACAAGACTGGAATAAAACAAAAAAGTCTAATTTTGAGAATAATTCACACAGGTAAAAAAAAAAGGTTATTTTGTAGTTGAATGTAGTGTAGTGAAAATAATACTACTGTTTTATGCTGCTTTGTGCTGACCTCTTTCACCTGTGCGGCGTCATCATGTGGGCGAGTCCCTGATGACCTCATACAACAGGTGTGTTTGACTGGGTTTTTACTCTGCAGGTAAATGATTGCTGTAACACAGGTGCAGCCCTGTGTTATGAGGCAACACCAGTGGACTGCAACCATTCTCTCTCTGTTAGTTTCTCTTTCAAAACAAGCTCTTTTTTTTGGTTCAATTTCTGTGTTCTGTATGTGTATGAAGAAGAACACATTACTGTCAGTAATAACACTGTATGTTTATTTATTAGGCATCAAAAAGTAAAGATTGTCAGTGTTCTTGGGAAATCAACAAAATAAAAATATGACACCTGCCACACTTTAACTAAAGGTTGGGCCACAGCACAGGTGGAAACTGGGTTACATCTACATTTAAAGGTTTTGGAAACTGACAATAATAAACGAAGAGGCTGGAGCTGTTTGAAACTCTGGAGTCAAAAATATTTTTACCAGGAGACCAATCTGGCCTGCAGGCAGGCCTGTCAGGCACAAGCACAAGCACACAAGCACAACGCTGCTTCCCTGCAGTCAGCAGAATAAGAAGTCGCACTTTCCTGCTGCAGATTGATTGATGTTGACTAAGCCTGTAACGGAAAATTACACATCAACGACATTAACACTGCTACAAAGTTAACATGAGCAGCTTCAGTGGTCTACTGTAAACAGAAACCCCTGGGGTGCTTCTGGCCCATGTCACACACCTGTGATAACAGACATGTTTACTTTGGCAGTGTTTGTCAGAAAATGATGCAGTGTAGAAACTGAAACACGTCTCAGCTGTCAGATCTGATCAAGTCCTGCTGCTGCAGCTTTTTTGACAGGTTGAGACACATTTACAGAATCTCCTCGTAAGTCGTCACCCATCAGACCCTGAATGTGGGGGCAGGTGTGACGGGATTAACACCACTAATACACTCGTTTGTTTAAACAAAACCCTCACAGGGCTTTCTGTTTCTGTTGTTCTTGTAGGGGTTTTCTTCACACCTTTCAGCTCTGTACTTTTGTGACTACATTTGCCAAACAGGAAGAGAATATAGATTTCTTGCACAAGCAGGTAAACACACTGAAACGTAGCAACATCAACTTCCTCATATTTACAGGTGAATTTACATCTGCTGTGAAAGTGAAAGCGTGTAAACAATATTCAAACCAAACTGGTCAGGTTGAAACTCACATGTTTGTCACTGGAAGATGGTGGAAGTGAACCAGTGAGGACAGGAGACTTGGAGGGACTGCAGAGCTCAGGGAAAGGGTTCGGGATGGACGGGACGGAGGAGGAGAAAGGTTCCTTGGATCTCACCCTGGAAATGTCACAGGAGTAGAACATTTTAAAACAATGGCAGAAGCAGAGAAAATGATAGAAACGGAGGTTTATATTGGCTGACTTTGTGTCTTTTTGGCTAATATTTTTATGTTTCCTGTCTGTTTGTCCTCCAACCAAAAATAATAATCATAAAGTAAAACAGCTCCACAATGGCCACTGTGTTTATGAGTATGTGTGCTTGTGTGTGCGCAGTAGAACACACACCCAGCCCTCTGTGCAATGACAGCTTTATTATTACACTGTCTTTTAAACAGGGAGTATCTGGGATTATTGAAACATCTTAAATTATTAAACAGGGAGTATCTGGGATTATTGATGTCGTAATAGAAACTGCCTTAAACATCTGATGACTGATGTTGAGTCACTAACTTGAGTCAATAACTACTGACTACAACTGACTCATGTTCATGTGTGTATGCATTTGTGGACAATTTCATTGGCCTCTTCACACACACACACACACACACACAGAATAAAGCTGCCTGTGTGTGTGTTTTATGATTGCTCCTGTTGGTCTGACCTGTTTGAGGTGATGAGGATGGGCTGGGAGCGGTGAACAGAAGGAGAATCGGCTACTAGAGGCGACAGAGTCAGCGTGGAGCTGCTCAGCAATAAGTCAGCACCTTCAGAATTCTCCATCCTCTCCGAGCTCCCAAAAACTTCTGTCCAGGGTTCTGCTACTTCCATCATGTTACCTGAAGAGATGAGAGGGTTTTTTTTACCTGAAGAGATGAGAGAAGAACAAAAGTCAGAAACTAGAGTTTTTACTGACCAAACAGTTCAACCTTAATACAGGTTAGACACTATGTATCTGTATAAAAATGAGGTGGTTATTGTTTCAGTCAATATCAATAACATCAGCTGGACTACAGTAATTGTCGATTTAAATAAAATGAAAAAACATGCAATTTTTCTTTTTGATTATTTTGTATATATGGAAAATGAAAATGTGTAAAACAACAGAAATGATGTTAGACTGATATCAGTAGATGTCCACTCAATAGTTCTGATACAGCCTGAGAAAATAAAAATAGGTACATACTACATTAGTGCACTGAACCCAGTCAGATCCAACCTGTTTTTCTCCAGAGATTTAGGATAATTAGACGAGTATGAGCTTGTTTTATTTTAATTACATGGCTTATTTATTTCTACAAAAAACATAAAAGCATAGAAACAAAATTCCATTCTGTACATTGACATATTTAAAGGTTCTGGAAGTCTGATTGAGGCGCAGGTTTGCACAGCAGCAAATCTCATAGAGAAACTAGTGAAATTACTCGTTTTGATTCTGAGCAAAGTTTTGGTCACCAGCGCTGTACTTTAACAACACTGACAATGAAATGGTAATGTAATCAACAATACACGGGCTTAGTCCTCCTGGTGTTGGCGTTAGCTATTTTTTCGCGGTTCAGACCAGCCTGCACCTGGTTTGGACTAGCTTCTTATTAGCCTAGGTGAAGCAGGGAGTAAAGAGAGAAAAAGAAACACACCTGTAAAACAGCGTCCAGTCTTTCAGTTAGTTTCATCAGTCACTTGTCGTCCTAATCCCAGCTCTGATACTAAAATAGTTGTGTGGGCTTTGTTTCTGCGTGTTTTTCTCACGTGGACCAGAAACAAAACAAAAAGCTGTACTTCTTCAATAAGGTGCCAGCTCCAGTCTGTGGAGACAGAGCCGGTGGGAGGAGCCTGACCATCAGGTGTACGCTCTGGTCACGCCCACTCACATTCGTCCTGCTTTTTTATTTCCTTACGTTTGAATGTATTCCAAGCACTCACATTCGTCCTGCTTTTTTATTTGCTTTGAATTTGAATGTTTTCCAAAGTTTTACCATGTTTGAATACATGAAGTTATGAGTTTTGTAGATTAATATAGTTATTTGCATCTTTACTCAAGTTATAGAATCTAAGTTATATATTTAAATCTAATATATATATATATATACATACACACACACACACATACATTTAAACATTCGGGACATGATTGAGTTTTTCTTTAACCCACCTAGCGTACCATGTCTGCATTTGCCTACAATTTATTAAAGACTAAAGGTCAGTTAAATGTCACTTCTGAACATTGATTCTTGTGCATCGATTTTATTTATGAATTCTGTATACTGTGCCAAAACATCTTAAATGGTACTTCACAGACATCATCAAATCAGTTGGTGGATTTGTGGATTCTTGATAATGATGCATGTTTTTTAAAAATCCTTTAACTAAATGCTTTTATTTTCATTAATTCTGCAAAGACGTGTGCATTTATAGTCATCTCTGTTAAATGTTTGTCACCACCTAGTGTTGAGCTTGACTAACTGAAGGTCAAATGTCTTTATCTTGTGTGTAGTTTATTCTCTATCTTTGCTACCAGTCTGGGTTAAATATTTACTGCTTGTTCAGTCACAGAATCATAACAACAAACGTTATAAACTGACTACTGTATTTCAAACTCAAAAAAAAAAAAAACCCTTCTTCCGCACCCTTTGTTGGATCAAACCATGTTTATTAATGTGTTCAGGAAATCCCCACAGAAACCGTTTACAGGGGAACTTACAGATTTACAATCAATCTTGAAAGAAGTGCCCACTTTTAAACCAGATGGTTCCACAAAGAGGGAGCCCTGCTGAATCTCATGAGCAGCTAAATGCACAGCCGTGCCCCTGAAGACAGAGGTCGGCCACCAAGGCTATCCAGCTCACCACCGAGCTACACAGAGTCCTGTGTTGTCGCTCTTTCAGTCATTATGTATGCAGAAGCAGCAGCCTGTAGTGAACCCAGACATCTGAGCTAGGTTTCCTTCCCCTTCATGTCTGCACTGTTTATAGTTAGAGAGCCTTCATATTTGGTACAATCCTTCATCCCCGACATGAACGTTATAGTCATCTGATGGAGTTCTGATAATAGTGACACTACCAACCGTTGGTGAGAGAAAGTCCCTTAACTCAGGTTTGGCCGTCAAAGACCAACTACTCTCACATACAGTAA